TCTGTGGTTTGAGTGTATCCTCCAAAAGTTCATGTGTTGGAAGCCTGGTCCTCAATGAGGCAGTGTTGGGAGCGGGGCCTAGTGGGAAGTTTGGGTCAGGGAGGCATATACCTCATGAATGGGTGGACACCCTCTCCTGAGAGTGAGTGAGTTCTCACTCTTGCAGGACTGGATTAGTTACCACAAATTCCTACAAAGCGAGGCTGCCTCTTGTGTTTGGTCTTCTTTTTCATACATGTGGGCTTCCCCTTCTACTTTTCTACCTGGCTATGAAGCAGCATGAGGCCCTCACCAGATACAGTTACCCATCTTGGACTTCCCTGCCTGCAAAACCATGAACTAAGTAAACTTCTTTTCTTTTTAAATTACTCAGTCTTTGATATTCTGTTTTAGAAACAGAAAATGGACTAAGAAATCCCCCAACACTCATAAAATCTCATCTCCTTGGAGACAGGAAGAAAATATGAATGAAGCAGGAGATAGTTGTTAGGTGAGTTAGTAGTTGGTTACCTGACCAATCCAAGGAAGTTCCTAAGGAACGAGCTAGGAGAAGGTCCTAAGGAACGAGCTAGAAGATCTATCTTTTATCATGTTTTTATTTATTAAGGTCTTTGAAATTTTGAAGGAAAGATATACTTGCATATGGAGGGGAGGAAATAAAAGCCACTCGGAAGTCCAAAAGTTAGTAATTATATATGCATTTCCTTCATTGAGTGTGTTATGACTTTAGGTGTTCGTTCAATTTCTCTAGCTTCCAGATTTGCCCTTTGTATTAAATCTTCTCCTCTGGGTTGTGATTTGGCTGAGTTCCTGGATTCTGCATCATCCCTTATGTACTGCCCATCCCTCCTTGCAACTGTTAGTACCAAACTCACTAACTCCCCTGGCTTCAGACCTGCTAGTGTCAGCATTTTGACAATTGCTGACTTCAGACCCAGGCGTATCTTCCAATTTTCACCCACTCTTGCCTGAATGTGTGGGACTTGACATTATTCATAACTTAGATGGAAATAGTGATGATGAGTAAATAAAAGTTATGGATGACACAAAGCCAGGAGAATAACTAATGTTGGCAGAATTAGAATAGCAATTCCATAGGCTGGAACAAAGAACTGAAGCTAACAACGTAAATTGTAGCTGAATGGAATTCCAAATTTAGTTTTAAAACTCAGCTGTTCAAGCACAGAGTCAGAAGTCATGCGCTACCTCTGCTTCATATGGAAATGACATAAGGTTTAGGCAGATTGCATTTCATATGAGTCACTGGAGTGGTGCAGTAAGTGGGATGGCCAAAAAAATAAAACAAACCCACAACCTTAATTTGGTCTGAAGTTACATTGGTAGACACAGAGTAGACTGATCAAAGTGAGGAGGATCCCACTTTACTCCACTAGTCAGACTACACTTAGAGCGTCAGACTCAGTTTAGGGTAACACACTCTACAGCAGACCAAGACAAACTGGGTGTGTTTTCCTTCACATCTCATTGCAATGTGCTTTGTCTTACCGAGGTACTAATGACGTTTTTGTAAGCCAATGGACACATTTCATGCCTTTTACCTGCTGAAATCTCAGAGACCACATGGAGTAGAGCCCAGTTGTCCGAGTTGTGGCTAGGCTACACTAACATACAGCCAGCAAGCTCCCACACATGTTGAGAGAGCAAGCCAGGATCACAAGAACTGCCCACCTGATGCTTGACCTGTAGTCTTCCGAGCTTACCATCTTGAGGTACTGAGTTTTGGAGTGGTTTCGTTTTGTAGCAATGGCTATATGACACGCCAGCTTCCACCGGTTACTAGCTATGTCACCTTCAGGAAGTGGCTTAACTTCTCTGAGCCTCACTTTATTCATCTGTGCTTAAATGGCTAATACACATGATCTCTTTTAATACTCATAATAATTCTGTGATGTGAGTGCCATTTTTCTCATTCTACAAAGAAATTCTTGTAAAGGTTATGTGATTAGCCCAAGGTAATACAGTGAGTTGGCAGGCAGACAACTTTCTCATAAAGAATCTCAAAGTAAACCAAGTTTGTAGGTAAGTTAATGAAGAATTCTGAAATGCAATTGGAAAAGTGGGGGAGGTTCATTTATATTGAGTATCTCCCTCAAGTTGAATAATTGAAATTTTCAGTGCAGAAAAGATAACTCGGAAGTATGAATGTGGTGAAGGCCAAGGGCTGATTGTTTTGCCACTCTATTCCCAGGGCCTTGCCAAGTCTGTAGCACCTTAGTAGATATCAATAAATATTATTTGATATTAATTAAAAATATTTATTGATGTCTACTAATGAATCCATGATTGAATCCTGACAAATGGTCCATGGAGAATACCATCTATTCTAACAACTGAACCAAAAATATAATGATTCAAAACTTGAAGCCTCCAACAGATGGAAACACCTTCCTTTCTTTCTTCGTCTGATCTTTCTCACACCAGTGTGCACAAAAGCTGTTCCTCAAATGGTCCAGGCGGTAGCGCAGAATGAGGACAAACGGGGGAGGGGAAAGTTGAAGTCTCACCGGGAGAAGCTATCTCTTAGCTTCTAAATCACCTCAGTGTCTTGTAGGAATTCTTCCATGTTCCCACCCACCTGTCTTGTTACTCCCTCACCCCAACTTGGAGTCGCTAACGCAAACAGAGCTCTCGCTGCTATACATGTACACGGCTTTGTGTGGAGTCCAGCAGTAAAGAAACAATGGAATCACAGGAGGTCTACAGCAGCATTCCCAGAGGACCCCGATTCCTGGAAAGACTGTGTGGGGCTGCCATAGAGATCTTGGTAAAAATTTCCTTCAGGGTAGGCAGTAAGATTTTGGATGTTGATTTGTGACAGAGAAGAGATAAAGGAGGCAAGAAGTGAAGAGCAGGCTTAAGAAGTTCAACAACCAAACCTGACATTTGTTGAGTAGACTCAGGAGCTGCCCTACATTTGTGCTGCCACAACGCTTCCCCCTCTTCTTGCAGACCCATCATTTGCTTCTCAGTCTTCTCAAATGGACTGAGCTGCCTAAACAGCAGGGTCCATATCTGTTTCTCTGTTCCCTGCCCATACACAAGAGAGGGGCTTGCTGGAGGCAGACGCTGTCCATGAACTCTTGGGCATTTGCTTGTGTTTTGCAGACTTGGGTGCAATTCAAGGGTGACCTTCTTAACTTTTTGCATTGATTACATCATCGAGACCCTAAGAAAATCCAGTCGCAGCCACTGTCCTGAGAACTGGGAGGTGGTTCATAGTATTGATAGCTAGTTTGACTTGGGGGTAACTTGGCTCTGAAGCTCCCTCCCAGAGGTGTGGGTATGTACAAACATATGGTGTGTTTTCATCACTGAAACGGAACTCTCCCAGTAGGCTGAGGACAAATAGTTACCAGCTTCGCAGCCACTTATGGCATGCTGAGGGATCATCAGCTATATATCCATTTGTCTCCTACATCTAGAATGGGTGATATTTATCTATTCTTTCATTTTTTTTTTTTTTGAGACAGAGTCTTGCTCTGTTGCCCAGGCTGGACTGCAGTAGCACGATCTCAGCTCACTACAACCTCTGCCTCCTAGGATCAAGTGATTTTCATGTCTTGGGCTCCTGAGTACCTGTATTACAAGGGCCTGCCACCACATCCGGCTAATTTTTGTATTTTTAGTAGAGACGGGGTTTTGCCATTTGGTCAGGCTGGTCTCGAACTCCCAACCTCAGGTGATCTGCCCGTCTTGGCCTCCCAAAGCACTGGGATTACAGGCGTGAGCCACTGTGCTGGGCCCCTTCAACATGCATCGGACATTTGCTATTGAGTTTTGTATTCCTCTGCTATGATTACAAAGATTAAAGACAGGGTACCTGTCCCAAAGGCATGGGCAGGTAAATGCTGCAATAGAGGATGACTGGAAGTGGGCAAGAAAATTAGGGCGAGAGTTCAGAAAAGTGTGGCCGGCTTTGGGGACAGAGTGGATTTGGCCTGACTCATCCTGACACTTACAGGAAAAGTGGGAATTGGCCAGATGGAGATGAGAGAACCACGTTTTTAGCAGAAGGAGGAATGTGGCAAAGATTCAGAGGTGTTCAAGCAGGGGCGGCTCCAAGTGTGGCTGAGGAGAGAATAGCTTTAGTTGACCCTCCCGACTCATCGGGTCCTGTCCAAGCCACACCCGATAAACATATGACCTCAGAAAAAACTCTGCAAAGAGTTTCAAATCAACTCCCTGTCCCTTAATTCCAATCTGAATTTTGGCTCTAAGTGGAAGGTCTGAGGGGGCCACCCTGGACATTTGGTATGGAAGGGGGAGAAGGAATGATTAATTTTATGCCCCCCTCACTGGTACCAAGTACCCCCCTCACTGGTAGACTTGATTTCTCCAATGTCTGTTCCTCTCTCACCTGAAGCTATCGGTGTGACTAGAGTTAAAGCTGAGATGATAGACAGGATGTAGGCCAGGTGAGGAAGTAAATACTCACTCGGGGTTCTCCCTGGCCAGGTCCACTCTGAGAATCTGGGTTTGCTGATGTCAGGGATCACGTCTACTGTGTTCACTTGTTTCTTCACCACCCACTGGAGTGCCGGCTTATAATAGGGGCCAAGTCATTATTTTTTGGATGAATAAATCCACAGATAGATGAGCAACTGTGGACATGGCAAATAAATATTGTTTTATGTATAATTACAGAAAGAATGAATGTTTTGCTCAATGTCACCCACTGGAAATAAATTTAGGTTTGAACAGCAGTTCAGTTACATCAAGAGCAATTGCCCACTGCTGTTTGATGGATGTGATCCAATTCCTAGAGAAATAAGCACATGCATTATCAAAGCATAATTATACCTGTCATTAAGTGGCTTCCCTGCAGAATCCTTCCTGACAACAGAAAAGTAAAAGTTCCATAATTCAGTAAGAGTGACTCACCTTTTCCTTTCAGAGGGCTGTTCCTCCCAACTCAAGTGTGACATCTGCTTAAAAGATGAAACCAGCCTCATTCCAAATGAATGACATCTGGACAGCTCTTCAAGGATGAACATTTTATTCGAATATAGGCACTTGGCAGAGTAAATACATGGTAACAAAGTGTTTTAAGTTTACTTGCTTTATATAGTGACCAGAAAAGTCAATCCACAGTGTAGATTTTTTTCTTGATGTTGTGACTTCAGAAGACAAAGCCTCAAACCCATCTCTTTATGATAAAGTGCGAGGACACATGTCATACTGAGTGGAACTATTATTATTAAGTCAGTGATGTCCTTCCCTTCCCCACTTCAAAATTGCCATGGATCATATATCACTTAACCTTATTACGATGAACAAAAATCACTTTTGTCTTGGAGAATTGTAAAACCTTTTGAAATCACTAGCTCTGATATAGAGGACTACAAAACCAGACTTGAGAATTTTTATAATAAAATATGTAAGGCCAGAAAGCTTTTGGACAATTTGGAATCTACCCTTGTAGTCTCCAAAATCTTATTTTTTAAAGAGCTTACTGTGTGTAATGCAAGGCACTACTCTCTCTGCTCAAAGCTACAAGGGAAAAAAATGACAAGCCCAATTTTTTTCAAGGAAAATATATTTTCCTTATGAAAGGTCAATAGTAAAAGAACTAGTTTAAAGTCATGGAGTTTTTGCCAAAAACCATGTCTCAAGGTTTTATGCATTTCTAATGGCTTTGCCCGTAGGAGAGATCCCCAGAGCGGCACACAGAGGCTTTCATGCTGCTCGTTTAGATCAGAGTAACCTTGCTCCAATTTGGAAACCACTGAAACAGCACATACAAGTCTGTATGAAAAGCAAAATAAACTCATATGATATGAAGTTATTCCATTCAACATGTTAAAATGAATACAGAGCATTTTAAATGTACTCTAGTTTCCTGTTCCATCTCCAAGTGAAACAATCATCCTGCTTCTTCTAGAAAACTTGTCTTTTTTTTGGAGACAGGGTCTCATTTTATTGCCTAGGCTGGAGTGCAGTGGTACAATCATAGCAGCCTTAACTTCCCTGGCTCAAGCAATCCTCCTGCCTTAACCTCCCCAGTAGCTAGGCCTGTAGGCACGTACCATTATTATTTTCTGTAAGGATGGGGTGTTGCTATGTTGCCTAGGCTTTTCTCAAACTCCTAGGCGCAAGTGATCCTCCCACCTCAGCCTCCCAAAGTGCTGGGATTATAGCTATAAGCTACTGCATCAAGCCCAGGAACTTGTCTTTAGTGAAATAGGTATAGAAAATTCTTTGACCATATTCTGAAGTACATCCTGACAAACAGTGCCCAATTCTCCCTGACCTACATAATGGATAAAGTCAGGGCACTGATGCAATGCACCATCCAATGCAGTGAAATGTATTGTCTTTTAGGCTTGAGAAAATCTCTTAGCTTTCCAGGGAGTGCAAGAAGCCCTGTGTTGAGCAAAGCAAGGAAGCTAGGAAGCTCTGGTGTGAGGTGAGCCTGGGCTGGGGCTCCATGCTACTGTCCCAGGGAGTCGGGCAGTCTTTGTGGGGCTAGGCACTGCTCCTTTGGCTTCCTGCCTTCCTAGGCAGTGCATCTGGCTATCTGCCCCTTGGACTTTGGACTTTACTTAAGAGAAGACTCAATAAGGGCAGAGAGCCCAATTCAAAACATCTCTCTGCCTGCCAGCAGGCCCCAAATAGCCCCAGCACAGCAGTGTGCTGGGTGTCCAGTTCCCACACTTCCCGCACAGCCTGACGCATGCCAGGTCCTATACTGGGCACCAGGGATACTACAGTGACTCAAAGAGGCAGGAAGCCATTATTCAAGGCTGTGGGTTTCTAACAGGAAGCAGAGACGATGACTAAACCCCAGTTTCTGTTTTTGAAGAGAGGAGCCTCTTGGAGAGACAGGAAGTAAACCTCATTTCAACATACCATGCTAAATGCCAGGATATAAGTGAGCACTGGGGAAAGCAGGGACTGAGGGCAAAGTGGCCTTTACCTTCTTCCCTATGGTGGGATCCCTCAAAGACATGAGGATCTAAACACTCCAAGAAAAGCTGCGACAATGAAATATTATTATTCATCCTTTATGACCTAGAAATTCTTCATGGGAGGGCTGAAGAGGGTGATATTTTAATTTCTGATTAAATGGTTGAACTGCTCTAAAGAACTGAGATGAGGGCCAGGTGCAGTGGCTCACGCTTGTAATCCCAGCAGTTTGGGAGCCCAAGGTGGGCGAATCACGAGGTCAGGAGTTTGAGACCAGCCTGGCCAACATGGTGAAACCCCATCTCTACTAAAAATACAAAAAATCAGCTGGGCATGGTGGTGGGCACCAGTAATCCAAGCTACTCGGGAGGCTGAGGCAGGAGAATCACTTGAGTCTGGGAGGCAGAGGTTGCAGTGAGCCGGGATTGCGCCACTGCACTCCAGCCTGAGGGACAGTACAAGATCCCTTCTCAAAAAGAAAAAAAGGAACAGATATGAGTTTACTTGATGATCTAAGCAAGCTCTCAACAAATATGTTGAGGCTGGGCATGGTGGCTCACGCCTGTAATCTCAGAACTTTGGGAGGCCAAGGCAGGCGGATCACCTGAGGACAGGAGTTCAAGGCCAGCCTGGCCAACATAGTGAAACCCTGTCTTTAAAAAAAAAAAAAGTTGAAATCTGATATTAAAATATGGGAGGGGCCAGATAGCTCACGCCTGTAATCCCAGCATTTTGGGAGGCCGATGTGGGTGGATCACTTGAAGTCAGGAGTTTGAGACCAGCCTGGCCAACATGGTGAAAACTCATCTCTACCAAAAATATAAAAATTAGCTGGGAGTGGTGCCACACGCCTATAATTCCAGCTACTTGGGAGGCTGAGACAGGAGAATCTCTTGAACCCAGGAGACAGAGGTTGTGGTGAGCTGAGATCACACCACTGCACTCCAGCTTTGGCAACAGAGTGAGACTCCATCTCAAAAAAAAAAAAAAAAAAAAAAGCTGGGGGAGGAAAACCAACATGTAATACCAGGGACTGGAGTTTTTAGAAAACGAGCTGGTATTTTTCTGAAGGAGAAAAGAACAACTCCTTTTAAACTTTTGGAAGTAAGTCTCTTCCATTTTCAACATTAACGGTTACAGAAGATGTGTCTTGTCTATTTCCATTAAAATGTAAGTTCTAGGAGGAAGGAACAAAGTTCCTTTTCACCATGTGCTTGATATTTCCCCCAGTGCTTGATATAACAGAGACTCAGCGTGCTGAATGACTAAATAAATGATTTTGGCTTTTGGTAACATCTTTGGAACTTGAGGGCATATACCTTGACTCTTGTCTTTATTCATTTATTTATTCATTCATTGATTCTGTGCACTTCTGGGAATGAACCAGGACTGTTAGAATGGAAAGAGAGGAAAAAAAAGCTGTCATAGTTTGAAAATTGGCATATGTTTTGTTCTAGATTAAATTCCCTTGGACCGTTTAATTTATATTAGAACAAGAACCTTATCTTTTCTTTTTTTATTACTAAGCCCAACACCATGTGTGGCATGCAGTAACCATTCAAATAATGTTTGTTTAATTGATAGACTTTAAGCTCGATAATTCAGCTAAGCCCTTTGCACAGTCTAAGCCTAATTTGGAATGCTTTCAGGCTTACCCAGGCTAATAAAATTTTGTTGCCTCACCTGAATTTCCTGAAAATGTGATTAATTAATAAGAATCATCAAGATTAATTAATAAGAAATCGATAGCAGGATAAGGAACAGGCCCAGACAGTCCCGCAGACCATCATACCTTCCTCCCTCCATTTCTGCTCAGCTTCTCTTGATTCTATTGGGCATGATTGGCTCGGTGGGGCTCCACCCAGCAGGGGTGGCTGTTCATGACCTACCCTTTCTTGCAGCCTGACTGTGGACAAATGTTGAGTCCTTAAGAGATGGTGAATCAGGCATAGTAGACAGTAAAGCTAGATTTAAAGTATACATTTGCATTTTCAAACAAAATTAAAAAGCTTTAAAGTGCATGAGAAGATTGCTCCACTGAAAAGTGCAGAGTATATTCAAAACTGTGAACCTACTGTTTTCTCGGTCTTCCCTGCAATACTATTCCCTCCTCAGACATCCTGAGCTCCCTCTTGCCCCAGTACACCATTGCCCCTGTAATTCTTATTAAAATACTAATGCAAAAATTCATGGTAGAACAATTCAGTTCCACAGAGGTTTGCCTCAGTTGCTCATGCCCTGTGTGCATTTCCTCTGGTTTTATTATTCAAATGAAGAAAATACTTAAACATTTTTTGGTAATAGCTCACATGCAACCCCCTAAGAATACCCCTGTAACCCTTTGGCTTTGTTCAGAGAAAGACTTTAGCCAAATGGTCCCTTTCACTCCTCTGAGGGCAGCTCTGGGGAACTCTCCTGGCCACCTTGTCTCTCCGTCACATCATCTTTGTGTGACAGCAGGACATCTGTGTTGGGAGCATCCTCCACCACCCACTGGCACTCATGAACTCGGGCTACCTTCATTTCCTCTGCATTCACACTGGCCGTGGCCTGGGCCGTGCTGCTTTGCCCTCCCATCCCTTCTTGTTCCTCAGAAACCTGGCTCTCACTGAGGCAGACGGGGTCAGAAGCTAAAGTGCAGCCCTCTTGCTGCAAATCCTCCCCTTCAGTGCCCTTGCCCCCTCTTCCATCATGGGCAGCGAGTGTGCAGGCCTCTCCTGGGAGCGCCCCCTCCACAGGCTCCGGGGACTCCTCGGTGAACCCTCCACTGTCTGGCTGAGAGCAAGGGCTGCCTACCTCTGGAAATCCCCCCAACTCCTCCCCACGGGCCTTGGGAAGAGGAGCTTGGGCCTCCCTGCCACTGACTTCACTTTCTTCACAGTTGTCCAGATGGGTGGCAGCTGCCTGACTGGCCTCTTTTTCCTCTTCTTCTTCATTTTCTTGGGGAACAAGGCTCTCCCCATTTGTATCTTTTTCTATCGCTGGAGCAGAATCCACTGGTACTTCCACGGACACCGTCAGCAACTTTCTGAGCTCCTTCAAGGAACCTGAGGCAGTGATGGGTTCTGGCTCTTCCTGGATGGGTTCTTCATCCTCAAGGGTCCCTCCATGCTCCAGCTCTGATGAGCATGTGCCTGGGAGTCCTGCCATTTCCTCTGCTGCCACAGGATTCACCACGGGCTCATCCGCCCTTGAAATAATCACCTGCTCGGTCCCACCCAGGGGTGGGCTGGGCCCAGGGTGAGAAAGGCTTTCTCCTTTGGCCAATGAGCTAGGGACCTCAGGCTGCTTCTCTTCCTCTGACTCTTGGAATATTTCATTACTGAGGGTCTCACTACTCAGAACTCCTGGCAGAACGGCAGAAGCTCTCCTGGCAGGGCTGGCCTGGTTTGACCCTGCGAGGGGCTTTAGATCTGTTAAGCTGGACACACTTTCACTAGGCAAGGCCATGTTGTCTTCGAATAAGTTGTGCTTCTTCAGGATAGCAGCTTCCTTTATCACTGAGCAATATCAGAAAACAAAACATGACATTAACACTCTCCCTTGGTCACCTGGATTTTCTGATTATTTTGAGAAGCCAAAGTCCCCTGTCAGCCTCTCTGGCTATATATATTTCTCCATTTCAAGACCCAGCTTACATCAGGGAGCCTTCTGTGATGACTGAAGCTATAAACTCTTTTTCTTTTTTTTTTTGAGACAGTCTCGCTCAGCTGCCCAGGCTGGAGTACAATGGCGCATTCTCGGCTCACTGCAACCTCTGCCTCTCAGGTTCAAGAGATTCTCCAGCCTCAGCCTTCAGAGTAGCAGTGATGACAGGTGTGTGCCACCATGTCTGGTTAATTTTTTTGTATTTTTAATAGAGACGAGGTTTCACCATTTTGGCCAGGCTGGTCTCAAACTCCTGACCTCAGGTGATCCACCCACCTTTGGCCTCCCAAACTCCTGGGATTATAGGCATGAGCCATAGCGCCCAGCCTCAAAGACTGTAAACTCTTTCCAAACTCTGAGCCTCTGTAGCATTCATTCATTCATTTAAACAGCAAACATTTGCAGGGCATCTAACATGGGACAGACCCTGGGAATCCAGAGATGAATAAATTGTAGCCTCTGTGTTCAAGACACACGGGGTCTACAATAGTATCACCTGTATCCCTCAGGGAGGCCCCAGCACATTTTATTAGCTGCTAATATGGGTGGTTCCAGTTTGTCCTCCCGGACCGAAATCCTCTAGGGCAGGGGCAGGCCTCACCCTTCTCTGCTCTACCTTGCAGTGCAGTCCTGAATGTGTAATAGGTACTTGGTACTGCACATGCAGAGGAGACGGCCAACATGAAGACGTGTGTGCAGCTAGCTCAGGTTCAAAGGCCTCGAGACGGGCAAATCCAATAACAACAACAACAGGTGACATTTTCGACCACAGGCCTCCTATTTATGGCTGTGCAGGAGCCGTAGAGCCCAACAATATCACATCCCAGGGTGCCATTGATATCAAAGGCAGCACAGATTTGTGTATTCAGCATAATTTTTCAGCAGTTAGCTGTAGAGTTTCCTTCTCCCAACAAAATCAATATATTGTGACAATTTCCTAACAGAGAGCAATAAAGTGGAGGAAAGGAGTCCTTTTCTAATTCACCCAAAGGCGCCCATGGTACACTGGCAGTAGCCTTGACCGAGCCCTTCCATTGTGCAGACGCTGTGCTGACACCTTCTATTCCTGGTCTCATTGGATCCCCTGGAATTAGCTACTGGGGCCTAAGGCTTGTGCTTGGCCAGTTTTCAATGAGGAAGGTCTTCTGTGATATGCAGACCTTCCCAAAGGAGATCAGATATGTTTCTGGCCCATGGTTTGATGGTAGCCCTCTCCAACATTTGTGTGTTTGACCGAGTCTCACTCTGTCACCCAGGCTGGAGTGCAGTGGCACCATCTCAGCTCACTGTAACCTCTGCCTCCTGGGTTCAAGCGATTCTCCTACCTCAGCCTCTGGACTAGCTGGGACTACAGGCATGTATCACCACACCCAGCTAATTTTTAAATATTTTTAGTAGAGATGAGGTTTCACTATGTTGGCCAGGCTAGTCTAAAACTCCTGACCTCAAGTGATCTGTCCGCCTCGACCTCCCAAAGTGCTGGGATTATAGGCATGAGCCACCATACCTGGACCTCTCCAGCATATTTTTAACAAAGTGTTCCTATCCACAATCCAATCCAGGCAAGGCGTGATTCCTGAGGATACGGGTGCCAGAGTCCTACCGAGACCTGCACGGCACTGCATCATCATCCTGCGCCCTCTTCTGTCTGGCTGAGTGGAGGCTGCGAATGTGCTGAGAGAGCCATAAATAAGCCTTGCTGCTGGAATCGCCTCCTCTCAGCTTTCACGGGTGTGGAGCGGGGGCAGTTAGAAGCCTGTGCCTAAGAAGAGCCCTTTTTCCTTTGTTCTGTCTGGAACAGCAAGAGGAAGACAGCTCTTCATGAGAGACTCGAGGTTTAATCTCACTAAGCCTCAACTTTCTCATTGGTAAAATGAAACTTAAAATTCCCATCTCATAGCTTTCATGTTTTTGTATTAGAAGGGGAAAATAATATCTAAAGAGCTAGCTTAGTATGTGCTTAATCATAACGCTCAATCGAGATTAGTATCCTTCCTTCTTTCCTTCTCTCTCCTCATTGTCTCCCTGCCTCATCAACGTCCATTTCCTCTTCTCTTTTCCTCCCTGACTGGCCTTACAGAGTCCCATTTCAGGGGTGCTCCCCTCTATGGAGAGTCCCTGCAGCACCAGGTAGCCTTCCTTACCTTTCAGAGTTTCATCAAGCAGGATCTGATGTAAAATCTCCTCATAGACATTTTCAACGTGGATCATATTGGTATGATCTGCAAAGATGAACTGCTCATATTTCTGAAGCTCCTGGAGAGGAAGAGGTAAGAAGATAAAGATGAAAAGACATGAGATGCCTGTTCTTAGAAGAGATACAGAAAGGACAATTCCCACCCATGATTCGCTTCTTGGAGGGTGTGGGAGGAGAACAATGTTGGCTCTTGGGCAAATTACTCAATTCATCAAAAAACCCAAAAAGGTTCCCTTCAATTCAATTCACTGTCTAGGCACCATGCATGACCTCGACACATCTCCTATTACTGCCGATGATAAGGTGTGGAACTCACTCAGCCTCTGGTGCTTTCCTTGTACTGGCCATGCATTTTATGCTCTTCACGAGGGAAAACAGCATGGATTTTTTATCATCTCAAGGCCTCATTAGTAGGTGTGGAGCCTCCTTTTGTCCCTGATCACCAAGATGTTTCCCTCTTCCTTTTTTTAAAATGCCAACAGCACTTTACCAAGGTATGTTATAGATAGTAAAACGTACAGATAAGTACAGCTCAGTGGTTTTAAATTCGTAAATACACTTATGTAACCATAACCCAGATCAAGAAGGAGAACATTTCCATCACCCCCAGAGGTCCCCCATACCCCTTTCCAGTCTGCACCCCCCAAGATATGAGCACTGATCTTATACCTATCGTGGTAGGTTTATTTTTGCTTGTTCTTGAACTTTATAGAAATGAAATTGTAACTATTTTGCATTTGTTTTTGAGATTCATCCATATTGCTACATCTATCAGTAGCTAGTTTCTTTTTATTGTTAAGTAGTATTCATTATATGGATAGACAAAAATTGTTCATCTACACTCATGTTGATGAAAATTAAGAAATTTTTTTCGATTTTAACCATAGATATAATTGCTGTGAACATTCTTGTACATTTTTTTGTGGATTTAAGGGCCTGTTTACGTTGGGCATATACCTAAATAAATGAAGTTGTTGGGTCACAGGGTAGATATATGCTTAACTTTATTAGAATGCGGCCACTTTAGGAGTTGGGAGAATCTCTAGTCAAGTGCTCTTCAGAAACATTCTCCCTTCCCCAACGCTCATTGATTCCTTCTAGGATAGCCCGGGCACGGTGTATCCCTTAACCCTCCCTCCTTTCCATGGGCTTCCACATGGCTTGCCTTTTATCAGCATGAGGACAGGGCAGGGATCAAAATGTACCAAATCATATCCCAGTGATTAACTCAGTAATACTTGTGCCTCACGGTGCTGGGGGAAGGCTTCCCACATGTGGCTCTTAGAGAATCGGGGACTTAGCCATGGAATTTGTGGTTCCGTGCCTGGAAGGACAGGATTTACAGCAGGTGATCAGAAGTACCACCTCATACAACTCCCAGTGCTAGGACTTTGGGGCACTGTAGCCCAGATCACAGTGGGTAATAATGGATTCCTTTATACCCAACCAAGAAGAAAGGCAAAGGATTAGAGAGAAATGAGCTTCCATGATTCCCTAGAGGGTCTGGAGGCAGGACTGTTGCACAGATTTGGAAAGAGCATTGCCCAGGAGACTGGACATTGCCCTGGACTAGCTATGGGACCTTGGTGAGCCACATCACTGATCAGTGCCTCTGTGTCTTCCTCTACTAAATGAGAGGCACAGACTCTTGCCTGCAACACTCTTTCATCCTTCCTATGTGGTCTCCCATTCCTGTTCCCCTGATTGGCATTCATCCCTCAGGACTGGGTGAAGGCATGACTCTGGAAGTCCTTCCTGGCTGCATAAGCAGAGTTTGGCATTTTCCTTGGAGCTCTTCCCCATAAGGCAACTGCTGTGTTCCTCACATGGCATCCTGTTTGTCTCCTACTCTCCACCATGAACTCCAGGACTGCAGGGATGCTGGACTGGCACTATGCCTGGATCACATGTGATGCAAATCTAATACACACTTGCTGACTAAATAAGCAATAGACCTTTAAAATTTCAACCAGCTAAATAATTCCATGGGAAGAAGTACTTTCTATGGACATTTATACTGTCGTGAAGTGACCAACTCTACAAAATAGGTCTTCTATATTGAATTGATTGAACAGGGCCATAGGTTTAGTTCCCTGGGCCAATTAAATCGGTATCCCTGAAGCAGGTGTTGGGGAGTCAGAATCATGGTTTCACAGTTCCCCGGACAATTCTAATACATAGCTAGGGATGAGGTTGAGTACCACAGATCTAGGAAGCTGCTGCTTATAGAACCAAGGGAAATGTACTTTAGTAAAATAAAGACTCCTTCTATGAAGCAGATAAACCCCTCATTCATCTATTCTGTAAATCCAGACTTTTAAAAAGCTCGTGAGGCCGATATAATAGCCTCCATTACCAAAAACTCTGCGTCGCAAGCTCTTTTGAAATCAATGCCTCCTGATTAAAAAATTACAAGAGCCTCTTACAGATTAGGCACAGCACACCCTGCTGATGCTTGGAAAGACGGGAGCAGATGAGAAGGAGAACTCTCCTTACCTTTCTCCTGAGAGGAGGTGGCTCTGAGGCCCCCAAACTGCTTTGGGGATTGAAAAAAAGATCCCAAGCAGAACATCTGTGTGCAAACCCATCTAGAAGTGGACACTATCATCATTTGGGCTGCTGAACTGTTCTGCCATGTAAGGCCAAGGGTCAATCCCTTGGCTTAATGAAATCCTTTCCTATTAAAGAAATATGCCCCAGAAGTAAATGCCAAATACATCTAGTGTCTGAAGAAAAACAACATTTACAGACTATGAAGATGACCAAAGAAATGTCTGGAGTAAAATAACTCAGGCAAAGGATTTTAATGTTCTAGTGCTTGGAGACTCTCCAAGCTGCCAAAATGCCCTTTTTAAATTCCAAAAACCTCTTTATTATTTGCTCCAGGTTAATAGATCATTCTTAAAATGCAGAGGTAGTAGCACTTGATACCATTTCCCGAGTGCCTTTCGTGTTACAGGCAAGTGTGAACTGGGTTCATGCTCTGGTGGCCACCAGGTCTGTGACCTTGGCTCAGTGGCTCAACCACTCAGGTTTCCTCATCTGTACAGTGAGGGTATAAATAATACCACCCACTGAAGCTGTTTTCAGTTTCTGCTGGCCCACTGCTCTGCTCTGCAGATGAAGTCACAACCTGGCAATCATGGCTCTCACTGGATACTCAATGTTTGTAGAGGTTTTAAATGGTTTCATTTATTTCATTAAGCAATATTATGGGATTTAATAGAACAAATATCCTTCTGTAATCATGTTAGCTAAGATCTTTTCTGGAGGCAGTGGTCGAGTTTCAGAGGACATGTTGGACCTATGAATCATACTATAATGAGGAACACCTGGCATCCTTAGATGTTCTATGTCAGCTCCTCGTTTGGCTCAAATCCAGATCACTGTCCTTTGCGATTTTGTCTAGTCCAGGGGCCAGCATATCTGGCTAGCATCTTGTTTTTGCAAATAAAGTCTGTTTATATGTAGTCAATGGCTGTTTATGCGCTACAACAGCAGAGCTGAATAGCTACAACAGAAATAGTGTAGTCCATGAAGCTTCAAATATTTACTATCCGACCATTTACAAAAATGTCTTCCAACCCCTCCCTGGTCTAGTCGAAGTTGTTTGAACTTCAGAGACAAGAAGAGCAAGCTCTTTAGGGTAACTCATCCTCTTACTGGTTTGCATGTGGACGCCAGGGCCTTCTGCACAGTGGGAAGTGTGATTTGAACTAGTGCCTCTTGAAATATCTTCTTCCGGATGGTGCTGCTGTCGTAATCATATTGCTGTCAATACAGAAACATACGTTAAATAGTAACATTACAATCTGTTGATTTATGCTTAAACAAAAAACTCAGCCACCCACTTTACCTCTCTTTTCCCACTAATGTCTGGTAACTCTTTTATGTCCAAAGCCTCAGAGATCTTTCCGTGTAATTCCCTCACACTGCAGGCACAGGTTGTAACTGATAATGGCCCACCTCACTCTTACCTTTTACAGCTATAGAAACTGAGGCGAGATGAAAACAGAGTGGTGACTTCTACATGATAAAGAAGTTGGGGATAGAACTGGGGGTGAGTTTGTACTTTATTACTCCTGTCCCAGGTATGTTCGTGGAAACCATGATCATCTATTACTCCACATCCTCAAAGCAGGGGCAGTGGGTTGTAATGATTCCACAAGGGAAGAGAAGGCCTGGCTGGTGTCTCCATTAATATTGTGACATGGTAGCCAAAGAAGTTCAGTATACAGAACAGGAAAGATTATTCTCTCTGTTCTGCAATGGACATCCCAACATGGAAACCAGGATTTAGATGTCACTTCAAAGGGATCACAGATAAATCAGAGCATAATCACAGGCAGTGAGAAGAATGGTCAGGCCAAGTGAAGAATGGTCAAAGAGATGACGGTGTTTATATTGGAGATAATAACTTAGGGCAAATTATAACTCTATTCAAACAACCAAAGGCTGCCATGTGGAAGAAGGCTATGAACGAAACGGGTAGAACTGGAATGACCAGTGGTGAGAACTTTGGTCTAACATAAGAAAGCATGTTCTTGCTGTCAATAACTAAAATGGGCTATCCTGAGAGGCAGAAATCTTCCTGATAGTGCAGGTGTCTGAGTACTAGTGAGACTACCTGTTGTGGGAACCTGCTGAACACTGAATATGAAGTTGAACTAAATGCACTCACAATCTCTTGCAATCCTGAGGACCTAATATTTGAACAGCTTTCTATGTTTTTTCTTCCTTTCTTTCTGTTTGCTTAAAGAATGTGACACAGCTCCAGCAAGTTCATTACTATGTGTGTTACCATGATCAATATTACTTTTAGTATCAATGATTTGGTTGCTAGAGTTTCCTCTTGCTTGTGAGGCATCAAGATCAAGTCCGATATTTAGAGGCCACCCCCAGGCTCTGTGGGACTTTGATCTTCTGTTCCAAGGCGGTGTTTGGGGGAACCAGATATCATGGACTAGGTGCATGATAGTTTATCCTTAAACTCACCATTAACCAGCCTGTTGAGCTTAATTAAGTCACATTAGCTTTTACAGAATCAGTTCCTCCTCTGTACAATGGGGGCATATTCTAATTAATGCACAAGTTCTTGTCTGGATCAATACAACATATATGTGCAAGTGCCTATTATTAAAACTATTTTAATATACATTCATGCTGAAGTACATTTAAAACAATTTTATATGGTAGGTTTCTTTTTCTTGGAGTATTTCCTTTACATGAGGTTTTGATTTTTCAAAATCAATAAAATATTTGCCAGTTTAATGGATTTTACTATATTGCAACCTCTTTGAAGAAAGACGTTGTGCCTTGCCTATTTTTACATCCCACACAAGGCTTATAGTGGACAGCCAATATATGTTTGTCAAGTTCCATCTCTATGAAGGCTGAGATGCAGGGCCTATGAAGCTGGGGACCAGCAGTGGCCACTAGATGGCAGAAGAGGCACGGAAGTCACACTGGAGAAACGCGGATTGACAGTCACTGGACTTCGGAGAGGAAGGGGTGGGGAAAGATTAGAGCAAAGGAGAGAACGTGGTATTTTCCACTTCACAAAAGAAATAGGAGAAACAAGAGAAAAGAAACGAGAGAAACACATTCTCATTTTATGCTTCCCACAAACAAGACAATGGTTTTACCTTTAAGACTCGGAGCTTAACCTTCTCAATGGCAACTGCAGTTTTGGAGGCCTCTCCTTGGAGATGCGGGGAAAGCAGCTGCTCGAAAGTGAAGACTGCATTCTCCATTAGCTAGAAACCAGAGAGACACAGAAACAGACAACAGTCAGAGGCTGGGATCACCGCCCGCAGGCCTGGCTACGTGGACCTGGAGAGCAGCGGCCATCACAGAGGAGTCCTCTCGGCGGCTCCTCCAGGGGTGATCCAGGGCAACATCACCCCACCACCAGGGCTGTGAAACAAAAAGTTACATGGCCACAGTGGGAGCAGGAAGAAGTTGGAAAACCCCAAACCACGGGACTGAACAAGCATTCTGTCACCTCCGTGGGCACTTCTGTTCTTTGATACCTGCAGCCACTGATTAAGGGATGAGGCGGGAGCCTTCTTCAACTCGTTTTTGGCTGCGCCTCCACTTTTAAGTGGATGTAACCACTCTGCAGCACATCCCTTCCTCTCTCTGCAGTGCTGGGAAGAGGGGCAGGTCAGGGATGGCTGGGGACAGTGGCTGACACGCTCATGGGTCAGAAAGCAGAATTAGTTCAGGTATCTTATTCTCGGCACCTTTGCCTGTGTTCCCGTCACCAGAGTCCAGTATTTCGAAAGAGATTTCTGCTAAACTGTTGCCCAATTTTGTTCCTTGTTCCTCTTTAATTCCTTACAACTCAAGGGTTAGATAAAATGTATCATTTATCCTGCCCGTAATTTTTATGAAAAAAAAAATGTTCCTTTCTTCCCCTGAGATCTCAAAGCATCCAATATATACTTTTTTTTTTTTTTTGAGACATAGTCTCGCTTTGTCGCCCAGGCTGGAGTGCAGTGGCACAATTTTGGTTCACTGTAACCTCTGCCTCCAGGGTTCAAGCAAATCTTTAGCCTCAGCCTCCGAGTAGCTGGGACTACAGGCACACACCACCATACCTGGCTAATTTTTTTGTATTTTTCGTAGACATGGGATTTCGCCACCCTGTCCAGGCTGGTCTTAAACTCCTGACTTCAAGTGATCCACCCTCCTCGGTCTCCCAAAATGCTGGGATTACAAGCGTGAGCCACTGTGCCTGGCCACAATACATACCTTTATCACACTTTCAACACTGTAGTGAATTTATCTAAGAATATGCCTCACTCAAGCTCCCTGAAGTGGGATCTGGTACATGTCCGGCCCACAGTAAGCTCTGGTTAGAGTATCTGTGTGAAATGGCATGGCCTTTAGCACTTTCATGAACACACCCTGGTTCATTTAGGAAACACCATAATATGGAAGGAGTTTGTGCTATTCATTCCTGTTCCTGGGGAAAAGTTTCCTTATGAAAAAAATAAAAAGAAACTTGTCAAGTAGACACAAGAAATTAAAATATGAAGCTGTAACTGATTGTTTGATTGATTGGTTTACTGTTAATTACGTCAGGGAATTAATTTAAGCCAGTGGTTCTCATTCCTGGCTGCATATTAGAAGCAGCAGGAATCAGGGTAGGGAAGTTCTATCACAAAGTAGCCATATAGGCTGGGCATGGTGGCTCACGCCTATAATCCCAGCACTTTGGGAGGCTGAGGCAGGCAGATCGCTTGAGGTCAGGAGTTTGAGACCAGCCTGGTAACACAGTGAAACCTCATCTCTACTAAAAATACAAAAATTAGCCGGGTGTGGTGGCACATGCCTGTAGTTCCAGCTACTCGGGAGGCTGAGGTAGGACAATCACTTGAACCTAGGAGGCAAAGGTTGCAGTGAGCCAAGATCACACCACTGCACTCCAGCCTGGGTGACAGAGTGAGACTCCATCTCAACAATAACAAAGTACACACACATGCACACACACACACACACACACACACACACATACATGGTATGTATAGAATCAGAATCACTGGGGATGGAGCCTAGACATCAGTATTTCCCTCAGGTGATTCCAATATGAGCCAAGGTTAAAGCACTAATGTGACAAATCAAATAGTTATCAATTAATGCTACTTTATTTTTCTGAGCTATGTCTTCTCTATGATGTTCATCCACATGGAAGGAAGATGAAGCCAGTGGAGGACAGAACCTGTCCTCCCTCAACATGACGGCTAAAGAGATGCGATGTATTTCCCTGAGCTATGCTAGCAGCTGGTCTCACAGGCCAGCACCCATTTCTCTGCTCTCTCTCTACCCTAATCACCACGGATGCCCCTGCCACACTCACCTAATCACCACGGATGCCCCTGCCACACTCACCTCCTGCATGTAGTTCTGTGTCCTCTGAACCACCAGATCAACGTGGGGGAATCTGAAGCGGCTCTTGAGATCCTGCAGGTGCTCATGAAGCAGGTTGACTTTAGTATAACAAGGTTCCATCTTCATGGAATGCAGTGGAAGATTCATAAGCTGGTCTAGATGCTGCAGTTTGGTGAAAGGAAACATTAAACACCCTCAGATTTAGAAGTGGTATTGCATGCATATTGCATGTTACATACATTCTAAACAATCAAATGCATGTTGATAAAGTGAATCACTACTCAGATCCCTACATCTGTGACACCTTCAATTGGCTTATTTTCCTCCGGTTCCTAGGGCAGCTGTAATGCTAGGACAGAAACCAGCAGAAACACCAACTGGATGATAGGAAGACCCAGGGGAGCACCCAGGGGGACTCCAGTCTTTGTAAGCTATTGATAGACTCTAAGCTCCCACTTCCAGAGCTTAAGAACCAGGCAGGCAGACTCTGACACATGGTTGCTGCTGGGCTCTCAGGCTTCCAAAACCTTCTTTAATGAGTGACGCTCCTCTTAAAAAACCCCAGGGAGGTCGGGATGCTCCCTGGACTCCTGGACTTTGGAAGGGAAGCCAGAGTTCGTCACAGTTCTGTGAGGCTCTGCCAGGGCCCACAGGGCTTCCCTCTGCTACAGGTTGCTTCAGGTGCTAGTGGATGGGAAGTGGATAGGCAGAGGCCTGACCTGGGAGAAGTATCCAGTTTGAAAAACTGGGGTCCCTCCTACTCTAGTTTGCACTCAATTGATGAGGTCATTGGGCTTCCAGGATCAGACCTCATCTGCTAAAGCCCTAAAGTGCTATCAACAGATGTCGTCACAACAGAATGCACTCTGTTTTCCAAACTTACCTTAAAATCATTTTTAAAGGGAATATTAGAGGTTTAAAATAAACAGTGGAGTGGGTGGGGTGGAAGGAGGCAGAGAGAAAGGTTCTGAACATGGAGGCTCGAGAGAGAACTGGGGAATGAGGCAGGGTGCATATGAATTATATAGGATGCACTGTCCGACTCTGCCACAGACAATAGTTTCCTTTTTCTTCTTTTCCTATCTTTTCTGTTACTCAGGGCAACCATCTTGCCCAGAGCCCATGTATTGAAACTCCTAGTAAGAGGTTTGACTAAAGATGAGGGGAGCCATCTGAGGGCAAATTTAAGCCTTGCCAGTTGGATATTGGGTGCTAAGCAGAGTGGCTAATGTCTATGTTTTATAACACGAATTTTGCTCTGGCCAGAAAGAAAAAATTAATTTTTCTTTACAATGCAGCTTGGCCCCCAGCACAATGGTGCAGCAAGCTGGGTCACTAGGGCCACCAGGGAAAGGAAACCCAAAAGCCTGGCATGCTGGCCAAAAGGTAAGAATTTCTTAACAGTCCGATTTCTGGCTTCTCTCTCGCCGTGAAAACAGTAGAATGAATGGTAAAAATCACTGTTTATCTCCATCTTGTTTTATGTCCTTGGGAGCTTGACTTTGTAACCACATAGCAGTACTTTCTCTTGGTCTCTGCCTTCCAGAGAACGGGAAGTTTAAGGTTTATGTTGAGTAGTTACAAGCCTTCGCAAACTCAAAATTAACGACTTTAGATTCCTTCTGGGAAGGGCAGTAGAGATTGCCCCATGCTGTAGCTCAGTAGCTAATCACCTCAGTAGCTAAGGTTTTGCCCTTTCACACTGGTGGTCTGGGTGCAATTCCATGCTTAGGAAGTAAGTCTTTTCTGGTTGAATATCTGTATGACCTTGTCTAGTTTCTTCTCCTTTATGGACTATCTTAAATTTTTCTTCATCTGAGCACCTGGGAGATTACCTTTGGTAAAGTTCAAAATCCAGAAATATTGGCCATTTGGCCTGGTTAAAATTGGGTAATAAGAAATGTTGAAAAGACTGTATTGAAGAGTGCTATGGTTAAAAGTCAGCTTAATTAAAAGTGGATATTCAAGCTTTAACAGCCTGGACTCCTTGGGAAAAACAGGAGGCACCAGAGACCCCTTTCCTGGTTCTGTTCTTCCAAGGTCCACCATAAAGCCAATAACCAATTAAGAAACTAAAAAACTGGCGAATAAAACAAATCTTACAACTGCTACAGTAATGTTCTGTTTGTATAATTATGTATGTGTTGTGTGCAATGTTTACATAAAGAGCTCTAATTAATTGGTTTAAGTAAAAATAACTGCTTAAGTCAAATATTTTGAAAGCAAAATAAAACCTGTAATGCCTTTTAGTTCCTGTAACTTTAGTAATCTTTGGGAAATAAAAGCAACTTTAAATATTATTGATAAAATAAAGACATTTTGTCTAAATTATGTAGGTCAGATAACAGGTTTGTTAAATACTTTAAGGTCATAAACTGCTTTGACTTTTGAAATTTGTTCAATTTATTTTGGAGACATTAAATTCTAAATAAAGCCTGGGGATATTGGAATTAGCCAATTATCCCCCTAGCTGCGCAAAGAAGTTATAAAGAAAAGAGGTTTTATATAAGAGAGGATCTCACATGGTAAATTCTTGTCCTAAAGTAAAATGACTGGTTGTTTAAAAAGAGGGTTTAGAGCAAGTGAGAAAGTCTAAATATGTCATATATGGTCTGTGTAAATTGTGAAATAATTTATTAAAAGGAATTTGTGACAGAAATGTTATACAATTTAAAGGTGATTAGGCCTCCTAAATGCTTCATAAAATGCCACTATGACTTTTAACTGTACAGCTTTCCTACTTTACATCTAGGTAAGGCCTGGGACACTAAGCTTATCAAGGTTTTTACCAAACATAAAAGTTGCTAATAGTTAACACTGCAATATGTAATTGAGCCAACTGAAAAAATAGGTTTACATGCTAGGTGTGTAAATAGACTGAAATGTGGTTTTCGTAAGAGATTATAAGAAGGTATAGGAATGTAAATTTTTGCCCAGGTTAGAGGGTTAAAGGATTATTTTAAATTAAATAAAGCTAAAGGTTTGAACAAGTTGTGGAAGGTTTATAAAAAATCAATTGTAAGAGATTCTATGTGTGAATATATTGGCTAAATAAAATGACATTATTATTTTTTCCCTAAATTGGACATTGGAATAAAAGCACAACAGAGTTTTCTTGGAATACTATTCTGCTCTGAGGAAAAAATATTCTAAAGGGTTATAAAGGTTTATAAAAATATTACCTTGTGATCAAACTAATTAAAACTGAATATATTTATAAAATGTTATTTAAAACTAGCTTTAACATTAAAAATACACAAATGGAAACATTAAATTTGGCTTTCTCTTTTAAAAGGATTTTTGTGTAATATTAAAAGATAATAAAAGGTTTGTTTACCTTTTAAGTAAACTACAAAAGAAAAAGTGGAGGGAAGGGAAGGAAAGGAGATAGTTGGCCTTATGCTAATGTCATTGGATCTGGTTTAAAAAACTGGTCTCCTTTCTATCAGAATAATGTTTCATCCTTTTAAAAATGTTTGAGTTATCATTTTGGCTAAATGAATGACTTATGTTAACCTAAGATTCTATTTTGTAATATTCAATGTTTTAAACCTGTGGTATTTAACAAACCTTTCAAAACCAATCTTTATATTATCATGCTAAATTGATCAATGCTAAAATTGTTTAAATATACAATTTGAATGAACTCCATGGTCTAAGTCAAATTACCCATGACAAGCCATTAGTCATCAGTGCTGTGCACCTAAATTGGAGAAACAACTGGTATTCAAGAGGATATAAGTCCTCTTATGTTAAGCACAGACTCATGAAGAACCAGAATAGCTGCCTTGTCCTTCCTGATTCCTTAAACTTTTGTTTAATAACAAAAAATGACTCACCATGGAAAAGATAAAATTATCCAAATTGAATATACTGATGTGGTGACTTATAAATTGTGGAAATAGTTTAAAACCAGTGTTTGGTTCCATATTCCTGGGAAAACAACAACAGTTTCAGGTACATTTGGCTACCTGATGGGCCATTTAAACATTTACAAAGGGATTTCATTCAATTGTCATTTTCAATGCATGTTTCCTTGTTGTATAAAAGTTTTCCCATGCTAGAGGGCTGCTATTATAACAGTAGATTTTTATTATGCTACAGTGTATTTTCACCAGGTAAAGAAAGCTTTCTATGGTTCACTGAGGGCAATCCCTTCATAATCTAGAATCTGGAGATTAGATCTTCTGAAAACATCAGAGAAAGACTGTCGTCCTTGTCCTCTACACTAGAGAAAAACTTTGGAGCCTTGAAACTTGTGTTCATAATCTCACAACTGAGAAGGGTCCCTCCACACTGCTGGAACTGTACACCCAATTAGACCCCTTAAGCTAAATTAACCAGGGAAATTTCTCCCCAGAAGAAGATGACATTCTTGATGTGAACAGCTTTTCCCAAGAGCATGTGATTCCAAGACTTCTGCTATCACAAGACTTTGATCTTTGAATATTTTTTTTGTGTATGCTTCTATGAATAATATAAATGAAAAGGGGGTCTATAATGTGCACTTATAGGGTATACTTTTATTTGTGATGGATTTTGCAGCCAGCCTTATACGTTATACATTCAGCCTTATAACCAGCCTTATAACCTTATACGTTCATAGATAAATGATGAAGGCCTTATGTAGGTGAGAAACTTTGGTGGTATATATGTTGCTTCATAATCAGTCAAAACTCCTCTTAACATGCATCATGGATTAGAGAGAACGTTGCCAGGAGGCCTTAACTCTTTTAGAAGGACATCATTTGTTAGGTCCTTTTTCCATGGTTTACAATAAAAGAGGCAATAATTAGAAATGTTTCCCTCATAAGAGGCCCTACAGCAAATTCTACTTTAAAGGCTATCATTACACAACAGACTTTAAATTCTCCTGTGAAAGTTTTGCTAAACAATAAAATTGTCTAAATAGAAAAGTACCTGTGCAGCTGCTGACACTTGTGGCCTATGGAGAAATACATGAAATGTAGATTATAAAAATTCAGTTGTAGAGAATTAATGAAAAGACCACTTAGTCAGGTGAGTAGACTCTTTATCTAACTCATTCTTTAATCTACTTAATTTTAGGTGGTTTGGTTTATGGGGACCCTGGGTAAGAAGCATACTCCAAACTCTTGGTATTATCCTCCCAATAGTCATAATAATGGTCTTTCTGGTGCACTGTATTCTCTCAAAGGTTTTAAATGTTTGCATGCAGCCATCTCTAGAACCTCAAATGGTCCCTCTTCAACTGAAATGACAAAAGCTGAAACAAACGTGTGACTGTGAGGACTCTGTAACCTGTATGAATGACATGCTGAGACTGGAAACCCAAAATGATGGCAACTAAGAGTGGCACTAAGGCCCTAAGTTTTGGTCATACTCTCACCTAAGTGAGAACCTGAGCAAAAAAGGGGAATTATTTTTAAACAAAATTTTAAATGGGAGGCCCTTATTTTGGACTAAGCTCATGCACTAGGCCCCAACAAACCAAACTAAAATAGAGTCATTTGTGCTAAATGTGACATAACCAAGCTAGGGCTTTAGGAAAACACACAGATCCCAGATCAGACCAGATTTTATTTTTCTCCTGTAAACAGGATATTCTGGCATAAGGAGGTACCCTCCACTTAGTCCTTATTCCCTCCTTGCAAAACCCACTGTTCTACTGTTTCCCAGTAGGCTTCAAGCCATATAATTACATTTACAGTAGTGATAGTAACCTCAATGGCTAAAGTTGTCGTCAATCTCGCAAAATTGAGAAAACAACCAAAAGCGGGGAATTGTTAAGGAAAACTAAATACGGCCTGAGAAGGATTCCGTACTTCTATATTTGAGTCCTTGTGGATGAACTGTAACCTTGCTTAATAGTCAGACAAAACTGAAAACCTAACTTAGTAGTATGCACCAGTAATAATGGCTGAGTGTTGGCCAATCCCAGCAGCCACACTTCAACCACTCATCAACTGCTGAATGTTCAAACTGTGTTGAAATAAGGCAAATCCCAAGCTGTAACCAATCTCACTGTTTCTGTACCTCACTTCCAATTTCTGGATGTCACATGACCTTTTTTGTCTATAAACCTGTTCTGACCATGAGGCACCCCTGGAGGGAGTCTCTGTGAATCTGCCGTGATTCTGGGATCTGCCTGATTCTCAAATGGTTTGTTGCTCAGTTAAACTCCTTTAAATTTAATTTGTCTGAAGTTTTTTTTAAAAAATCAGATCTCTTATCATGAGACTATATTTTTGAAAACAAACCAACAATGTTCTATAAATGAGGATATATACTTGCATGAACAAAGAAAAACTATGGGAAAAATATATACCAAGCTATTTCTATTAGTTAATTCAGGGAGTTGGGAATAGGGATTGCCTAGGAGTCTGGGTTGGAGTAGGATTAGTGGGTATCAGTCATGGTGATTAAGTTTGCCTTGATATATATTTCAGTGTGTTGTTTCACTTGTACAAACAAGTTATTATTTTTCTAACTTGAAAACCATCAATAAAAATATCAGGTAGATGGATGGATGAATAGATGGATGAATTGGGTGTCTGAATGAATGGAAAAAAGGCTGAATAAATGGAGGGAAGGGCAGAAGAATGGAAGCAAAAAAAGAAGGGAGGAAGGGAGGGAGAAATGGCAGGTGAAGCCTCATAGAAAAGACAGCCAGGCAGACCATTCACGCCCAGCTCCTCAGCTTTGTATCCTACCTCCTTTAGCTGGACACTGTCTTTGGTGGTCTGGAAGTTCTGGCTGAGTTCATCCACTTCTTTTTCAAAGAGTACACGTACTTCACTGAATCCCGAGCTCACTGGTCCCATGAGCTCCTCCAGGATGGATGCCAGGAATGGCTGCACACTCTCTGCACAGCTTTTCTCTGCTGGCTCAGCCACCATTGCTGGGGTAGGAAATAGATTTTTTTTAAAAACCGTGACGCAGGGTAAAACTGGGTTTGTGGGCACTGGACCTAGACCAGAGCTGAATGGTGCCCCATGGAGCCATTTAACAGCAAGGCAAGCTCAAGTGCCCTTGATAGACTAGTACAACAACCCCAGTGCCTGTGGTCACAAGAAAGGAAAACCACTGGACCCTTTTGAGAACTGTAACAAACCTATCCATGTCCCAAGCTTTCCTCTGCCCTGGGATAAGATGCATTTTTCTGCTTGGTCCCTCTGAACATCCAACTCTTCATATAATAAAGAAAAGGCTGGTGATCCACCTATCTACTGTCAATCACCATCATTAAATATGCACAGTTTGTTTTCTAAAAACACAATTTATTGTTTTAATTCAGTTCTCTAGGAGTTAATTGCTCAATATAATTCCATCCCCTTCTCCTCACCAAAATACTTTTTAAGAACTCCAGTACATTCTTTTCTTGAGCCATTGGAACCAAATTTCATTCAGTTTGCCACCCTACCTCCTGTCCCCGTTCCTAATTAAAACAAGACAAAACAAAATCACAACATGTTTTTCTGATCAAGACAACATGCTTAGTGACACAAATGTAGAGGACATTTTGATCATGAAGAGGAATGAAAAAATGTCCCCATAATTCTACTCCCCAGAGGAAAGTACTGCTCTTTGATTTAGAAGAGGGTGAACACAGTGAAGCTCCTGGTCCAGTCCAGGTAGCACATGGAAACCTGCATTGTTTTCAGAGCAGAGGTGATTCTCATGATCAGCCAAGAAACCACAATGGAGTGAAGGAGGCCAGAGCTGGAAGAAGCCTGAGCTCGCTCCACAGACTGGAAGAAGCCTGAGCTCGCTCCACAGACTGGAAGGCCAGCTTTGTGAATGTAGGCAGGTCACAGGGCCTTGTCATAGAATCACAGAACGAAGAACAGAAGCACAAATGGGGCTGATGTCCAGTCTCTCCACTTTACAGATGGAAAAACTGAGGCCTGGAGATGTTCAATGACGCCACAAATGTCACAGCCTAATTTGCAGGAGCAGGGCTACCATTCAAGTATCTTTCTTAAGTTCTTCTTGGCAATTTGCGTACAGTAAGATGAATGGTCTTGTTCTTATTTCAACTGGCAGAAATATTTCACAGAGTTATGCAGGGCCAGATCATGGCCTCTTATTCTGAGAATCTGAAATGATGAATCCTATGAATATTACAAATCACTTATAAATATTTGGGATGTAAAATATTACACAGTTCATAACATTATTAAGGAAAAAAACCTTTCAATTGTATGATCCAAACATGACACCATCTAAGAGTCTTCTAAAAATTACTTGCTTGACACTAAAGCGTAAAACTGTTTGTCAGGAGAATAAATTAATTATTAGTTAATTAACTTTAAAGAAAGGAAGTATTTGAAAAGCAGCCAATTGAAATTTCGGAACAATGCTGAATATGAGTAACAGACAATAAACATCTAGCAGCAGCTGGCAGATTTTACCTGCTAGGTGGGGCCGAGATAGGCACAGGAGGGCCGTGGGAGGGAACATTCCTCTCTGCCCTCTCTCTCTCTATCCCTACTTTCCACAGTATGCTCCCATCCCCTCTCTGCACCTTTATTCAATGTTCCTTTACCTTGCCTTCCTTCCTCTACCTCTGCTCGTAAACATCCTACTCCTCTCTTCAAAGCCCAGTTTAAATTTCACTGTAACCTCCTGGAACCCCTGCACGGCTTCCTGAGTTGTGGTCTGCAGGTGTTTCCATATGGGCTGGATAAGTTCCACGTCCCATTCGTGTATGTGCTGCTATTTTTCCTTTGAGATGGAGTTTTGCTCTTGTTGCCCAGGCTGAAGTGCAATGGCGTGATCTCGGCTCACCGCAAACTCCGCCTCCCAGGTTCAAGTGATTCTCGTGCCTCAGCCTCCTGAGTAGCTGGGATTACAGGCATGCATCACCACACCTGGCTAATTTTTGTATTTTTTTTTTTAGTAGAGATGGGGTTTCTCTATGTTAGTCAGGCTGGTCCCGAACTCCCGACCTCAGGTGATCTGCCCACCTCGGCCTCCCAAAGTGCTGGGATTATAGGCATGAGCCACCACACCTGGCTGTGCTGCTATTTTTCAAGCAGGCAGAGATGCTGCTGTGATGCATATGTGTTTGACACATTAATTGATAAGCCTTACTGAAGTGAAGGAAGGAGCTGAACAGAGTGATGATGCCTGAAAGGTGAGGGCCAGAGGTGGGTTTGGAGCCCAACTCTCCCACAACTAGCTCTGGAATCTCAGAAAGTTACTGAATTTCTACCTCAGCATTTTCATCTGTAAAATGGAGATAATAAAAGCAATTATGATGAGGATTAAGTGAGTTTCTGTATTAAAAGTGCTTACAACTCTGGAAGTGGCCCCTTGGAAGGACCCAGTAACTGTTAGCTCTTATTGTATCTGCTGGCATTGGTATTTTTTCCAGGCCCCCAACACTAGACCTGTGCTCTCATTATGAGGGGCCCATGTGGACTTCTTGAGGTTGAAATGGGATTGATGCTCACATGGGGACCACTGTGCTCTTTGTTCCTGCCTCTGGTGGGAACATGTTTTTCCTTCTGTTTCAGCATCTGTGACATGCTTTGTATCCTCCTCTCCTTGTAAAATCACATGGTCTCCTTTGAATCATTCTAGCCATTGTACTCAGCAGAAATAGAATAAATGCTTATTGAATGAATAAATAATTGTGCAGCAGAACTAAATTTCAGGGGCTTTACTCCCAAGAGTCACATGGGAGGAAATGGAGAGATCACCATTTAATACTCCCCAGGTTTTTTTTTTTTTTGGAAATCCAAAGCCTTTTATTAATATAGCCTAAGGTAAACTTCCTTGTTTTAAAGGTGGAGCACTGGATGCCTGGTTAAAATGTGTTTGTGGTATTTCATTTTATTTATTTATTTATTTATTTATTTATTTATTTATCTGGGGGCTTTCTGGCAAAAACTGGAAAGCCTGCTTGACAAATTCTAAACGAGCTGTAACACTGATATTCCATTGAAAAGGACTTGATCATTACTTCCTTTTAAGGCTTCTTTTAGAAAATAAATACTGATCCCAGGCAAAATCTTTTTCCATCATATATGGATACACCAGAGCCAAAGAGATTTAAGCAAAGGAGGACGATTTAATTTCAGTCATGAGAATGGCTGTGGTTAGGCCCAAATTAGCCCAGATAGAACAAATTTTGCCACAGGAGTTGAGCACTGGCAGTTTTAAGTAGTACAGAGTCTTTAAATATATGGCCAACTCTAGATTAGTTATAAGCTAATGGAGGAATAAGAGACGCAAATAGTAGAAAACATCAAATACTCTGAAATTAATGTAGGGCTGGCTTTGGAAAGGATGGCATAAATAGATACACAGAGATACACAGACACACACACCCGTGCTGGAGCTGGGCCTCCTCTAACCTCCTCCCAGCAGGACCTGTGCTAAGAACCCTGAAGCAAGCTGGGCTGCAGCGGAAAGGGGGTCTGAACTACAGAGGATAATCCACAAAGCAGACAGCCCAGAGACTCAAGCCTCCTGAGCACAGGAATAGGGTGTTCCTTGGTCACTGCTAAAGCTCCATTGTCTGGCTTGGAAAGCACTTAGTGAATAGTTTCTAATGAATGAATGAGTGAGTGAGTGAATAATCCGGTAACTCTCTAAGAAGACTGTCCATAAACAATCACAGGTGAGCCTGCAAGCTTCTCCTCTGAAGTGACACTAGGTGTGGTGGGTGTGTTGGGGTATAAAGGCCCCAGATAGAATGGAGAACCATAGAATTTCATTCTGCAGGATTTCTTAGAGGCCATCTAAGGCCTCTTGTATAGGAATAGGTAAACTGTTTTCTGTAAAGGACCAAATAGTAAATATTTGTGCCTTTATGGTCTATAAGGTCTCCATTCCAACCATTCACTTCTGCTGTTGCAGCACAAAAGCAGCCACAGATAATATGCACGTGAATGTGCCTGGCTGTGTGCCAATAAAACATTATTTACAAAAACAGGTGGTGGCCTGATACAGCTCAAGGGCTTCAGTTTACCAACCCCACTCCTGTGGATCCTCCTAGTTTCAGAGGAGGACACTGAGGTAATTAGAAGTTGAGTGACCTCCCCAAGTATGCATGGATTGGCTAATATTGGAGTTGGGGCTACAAACCCACATTTATTGGGTTTGTAGTGTCAACAGGTATGACTCTAAGCCAAAATTTTAGGTTTTCCTGTTAGAGGAAAATCCATGTATTCATTGATTTGAATATTCACTGAGAGTCTGTATATGCCTGGCATGGCACCAGGCCTTGGCTGTACTTGAGTAAACCTGGGTGACATGGCTCAGCTCTTTGAGAGCTTATAGCAGAGAGGAGGCAGGGCAGAAGCCAGTCTAATTCAGTATCAGGAGGGCTACAATGGGACTTGGGAGTGCAGGCAGTATCGGAATACACAGGCACTGCCAAAGGCAAGAAGCAAACCTTCCTCTGTGTCCATGAAGTTTCCACAGGAAGGTGCAGGCCCCTAATGGTACCTCCAGCATGCTCCTGTTGCAGCTGTGATCACCTCCTCCCAGTTTCTTAAGTTTAATTATCCTCTGAAACCATGCATTCCTGCTACATGGTGGATCCCTGTGTGTACAGCTTATTTAATTAGTAAGAACATGGATTATCTCCACTGACCTTTGATCTTTCCAATTAAATAGTTCTTTGAGTTTACAATCTGATCCATGTCAGAACGGATTGTTCCTTCCAGGCCTTTTGTCAGAGCTCTGCATTCCTCCTTCAAGGCACTTAATCCTTCTGAAACTTGATGCTGAACCAGGGTGTAGGCCTCCTCGAGGAGCTGCAACAGGGAATAACACATAAATCAGGGCTCTGTCATGTGTAAGCACCGATGGACTCAAGTAGAGGGAGGAGCCTTCATCACAGACCATCATAACATAAACAGAACTGCACACACATTGTAATTTTTCTTTCAATGTTGGAGTCTGTTTGGATTAGTCTTCATGTAAATGAGATTGAGTAGGTTTGAGGTAGGCATTTCTACACTCAGGGAAGGAATTATCAAACAACTACAAATGCCCTAAAAGAAAAGGGAAGGGAATGTTCCCATTTTGAGTAGCTCAGCTGTGGTGCAAAACCATTGCGTACACCAAGCCAGGTCCTCTTTCTGTCGTTCTTCTTCCCCTTCATCTTAGGCAGCAGGTCTGTCTGAAGAGTGGGCAGGAGCTCCTCCATCACCAGGTTACTCAGGATCTGCACAGCAGAAGACAGCCCAGAGTCAGTCAGTCAGTGATGGCTACATCTGAACATCAGGCCAACTAGAGAAGTCCTGATTAGCTGTCCCTGTCCTAGACCAGAAGAACTCTGTAGTAGGTTAACAGTGTAACCTACTACAGAGGCCACAGAAATCCCAACTAAGACAATCTTAGAGGCTGAACATTCTTAAACATCGACAAGGAACAGTAACATCTGCTGATATTCTCCCCTTGTTTTCCCAATGAAAATAACAACTTCCCCAATTTCAAATTTCACATATTCAAATTTGTGATGTTGATCATGTTGGGGTCACCACCTGCCAGGGTCTGCCTACAGACCCCAGCCGTACCACAGATGAATAAATGCACTCACATACAGAATACAGTGAGGGAGTGGGTTGAGGGGTTGTGAGCTTCTCACAGAGAGAGATCACAGCTGTGAGACACCCATTAGCTTGCCCTCTCCCCATTTATTTAGTATAGATTTAATAACAGAGGCTTTAAGTCAATACACTTAATAGAGAAGGTTTAAAGGTCAGGTTCTGTTGCTTAAAGCAAACTCTATGAATTGATAATATCCTTGGTTAACCTCCCCACAAGAGGGCCATCCAGCTCAAAGTTTAGTTTCACGACCACATGAGTAAACAAGTTAATTAGGTAAACTCCCCCACATATCCTAGCTATTTGCCTTACTTATTAACTAAATGTAAAGGGGATTTAGGCTACCTTCAGCAGAAACTACTACTGAAACTATGAAAAAACCCTTCCAAAAGGCTTTGAAACTATATTCTATAAACTTTCTCTACTATTTCTCCCTTAATATTTTTACTATCATCCTGAGGGGATTCCTAAATAAACTAGAAGAACTTAGAGGGTAGAGTAAAATGGAAGATTTCAATAAGGGATAAACACGTCTTTAGTAAAATCATGAAGTGAATGCTAGGCTTGGTTTTGGTGGCTTGAGTCTTGGTCTGTGTTCCCTGGGACTGTCATTCCCCCTAAGCCCCTTCATGATCAAGGTATCGAAGTATCTTCATGCTCTTAGTTCCTACTGTCCCCTGAGCCCCATCATCATCCTCTTTAATGTTTAGAAAAAGAAGGGAGGAGCCGTGTGAAGAAGTGAGAATGAGCCTGGACCAAACAGACCCCATGTACCACTGTATCCCACCATGCATTGCCTTCATCCAGCACTGGAGAAAGGCTGAGGGGATGCTCCAGGAGATACAGCCACACTGAAGGGTAAACCACAAAGAAGATCTGCAAGGTTGTCTGCTAGACCTGCTCTTCCAAAGCCAGAACCCAAGCCTCAAAAGGCCCCTGCAAAGAAGGAAGAGAAGGCACACAAAAGGAGAAAATGGAAAGGCTGGTGCTGGCAAGGAGGGAAATAATCCCACAGCAAATGAAGACGCCAGAACAGACCAAGCACAGAAAGCTGTCGGTGCTGGAGACACCAGGGGAAGCGTGTGCATTTCTGGTAACTGTGTACTTCTGGTGACTGTACATTTTGAAATACTGTTTTTTAAAATGGAGTTTTATAAAAATGCAGAATGTTGTCTTACTTTTCTTAAAGCTATGTTATTATCACACAGAATATTTCATTGTTTTTGGAGGAGGGGGCATATGTCACTAATAGAATGTGCCTGAAGCTGGACTGATGTGGGGAAACACCTTTCTTTCCAGTTTTGAGAAACTTCCTCTTGGCTCTCAGAAGGGGATTCCCTGACATTGACACACATTACCTTGGCAGAAACATCTTACGATGTGGAAAAACAAAAATTCTTTTTTATTTCCTCTTCTCCCTCTCTGCCTTTCGTATGGTCTCAACTTCCTTAAACCCAGACACCTGTTGGACCTGACAACTAAAATTAGTTAGCAGTCAGGGGTCATCTGGACCATCCAGTCACCCGTATTGAGAGGACATCTCTCAAAAGAACAGCAGTTCCTTTTTTAGACTGTGGATTTCCAGACTGATGATTGTGCCATTTTCATTTCATGTCCTGAAAGTCAAGATTGGCTCACGAAAAGTTGTCAAACAACATGCTACATGTGAAATGTCAACCCTCACTGCAATCAAGAGTCTAAGCAAATTATTTCATTGGGCTTTATACAGCTTTCTGATGTTGGTGTATTGAAGAAGAGAGTTTGGAAATTGTTGTATACTACTATGATTGTGTGCTCATGTCCTGCCTAATACACTATGATTGCTTATAAAAAGCATCTTTAGACAGGGGGATGGAGACAGCAAACCACCATGGCATGAGTGTACCTACTCAACAATCCTGCAAGATCTGCACCAGATCTTAAAGTACTTTAATATCCCAGAACTTAAAGTACAATTTTAAAAAAGCATGTTTAATAAGGCTGGATACAGTTTAAAAAAGGAAAAAGAAGAGAATCACAAATATTTTTGGAACAATCAAACATTTGAAGCATTTATGGGAGGGGTGTGAGATAATTAATGGAGACTGGAACAAATAAAAAAAGGAAAACTAAAAAAAAAAAAAAAATGGGAGGGAGTGTCTAAACTTTTCAGGTGTTTTTAAAAAACGTGTTCCCACATCGCTCCTAAAATTTTGCTGGGATAAATTAAACTATTTCTTGTGAATCTGAGCAGTATTCTACACATCCACTCATGCTCCTGGCCCCTCCTTCTTTACCCCCGTCCCTGAACTGCAGCAGCTTTGCTGTTCAGATTCACTTTCACCATGAATCTTTTGAGGCCCATAGCTCAGCTTGCAATCACAGTCTGCACACTAAGATTTACAAACGGGGCAAGCATTATTTTAAGAAAGGAAGCAGGCAGAAAAGCAGAGAATCACTTGAAGCCTCTGTTTTATGAGTTTGAAATAATATGTGTCCAAAATAACTGATCTTTCACTTCTCATGAAAATTCAAATTATGCTTTGGGAATTAAGGAAGATTTGCTCTGAGATCACTGGTCAGCCTCATGCTGGTGGAAATGCTCATGAGCTCATTCGATCTTGCCTGTAATCAGGGCTCTGTCACAGCAGGGTGTAATGCTTTTGCTGAACCAAACAGAAACACTCTCAGGACAGAGACTGATGAGCCATCCAGCTCACTGTGCCTGCAGGTTGCTGGGAGAGAAGGTGCTCACTTCAGGGCAGCAAGTGGAGCTCCTGCCATCTGACATGTGGATCTGCCTGGTGTGACAAAGGTTATGGTGGGGACAGGATTTCCATTAGCCCTGGTAATTCACTGGTGGAGATGTTTTTGACCTTTCTTCACCATTCTCTGGGGGCAGTCAAGAGATGAATCACTATTTTCTGCGGAGTTTAAGAGGAACCTAACGTGCAAAACTCCATGGAAATTAGCAGGTCCAACAATTATTGAAAGTAATGGCAAAAACTGCAATTACTTTTGCACCAACCTAATAGATTCAGTGGGTAATTAATAGTCCACCAGCTGACCCTTCTCAATGGGATAAGTTCTTGTTTGAAACACGTCTGCCCAAACTGTGGTATGGGAAGAGTGAGCCAAGAGGAACTGAGACCAATGTCAGAATTTAAAATCAGTGGGTTGACATTTTGAAATCCAAGGGCCTTGAGAATTGTCCCAATTCATCCTTTTGCAGAGATTGGTTAGAATTTTAGCTTAAGTGTGAAATGGGTTTGAAAATATAAAAATGTATATAAAGGCCAAAGAAAAATAATGTTCCATTTGGGTGGGCTTAGAGTTTCTTTAGTCTTTCCCACACAATGTTCCAAGAAATTTGGTTCTAGTTTACAACTTAGGGAAATAAAGGAAATATGTCTGGGAAGAAAAAGAAGGAGTGGGAATGGGTTCCAAGCAGGGGGTGATATGGTTTGGCTATGTCCCCATCTAAATCTCGTCTTGAATCGTAGTTCCTACAATTCCCATATGTTGTGGGAGGGACTTGGTGGGAGATAATTGAATCATGGGGTAGTTTCTCCCAAACTCTTCTCATGGTGGTGAATAAGTCTCACTGGAGCTGATGATTTTTAAAGGGGGTTTCCTTTTTTACTTGGCTCTTATTCTCTCTTGTCTGCTGCTACGTAAGACATGCCTTTCACCTTCTGCCATGATTGTGAGGCCTTAACGGCAACAAGGAACTGTCAGTCCATTAAGCCTCTTTTTCTTTACACATTACCCAGTCTCGGGTATGTCTTTTTCAGCCACATGAAAACGGACTAATACAGCAGGGGAGTGGGGCTCAGGGAATAGCCACAGGGCAGCAGAGCCTCTGGGTGCTGAAGCTCAAGTGTGTCTCATCCCAACCACCATCTTCACCCTCCAACCTTCAGCCCCACCCTGCCCTGACTGAGTGCTGCCTCTCACCTCCCCAGAGCCCACTCTGGCATTCCCTACCATGGTCTGCCTCCACAAGCAGAGTCTGAAGCCTTTGGGCTCTTTTTGAGAAAGTAACTAATCTAATAAATCATAATAATGAAGGAATTCCCTAACTTCCTCCCCTCAGAATAGTATCCACTGAATATTAACATAAGCAACCTAAGAATATCACTTTAGTTTTTTTTTTTTTAAATGGGGAGTGGTGGCTAGGGGAGTGTTTGCATACTTAACTGATAGGACTTAGAGATTTAAAAATTATATCACTCCTATAAGAAACTAAGAATGTCACTAGGTTGATCAAAACCAAGAAACCCAGATCACCTCTTGAAGGTAACACCACAGTGCTTCCTTTCAGATGCTGAGCTGTGAGGAAGGTGTGACATCTAGAGAGACCACCCTCCTTCCTGAGACAGGCCCCATGGTCTCACCAGGCTGCTGGCCCAGGCCCCTTGTGTTACTGAGTGGCCATGGGTGAAAGAATCCACTCTAGAGGGGTCACATTCAAGATCTTTCAGCAAAAGACAACTCTGGAGCATATGGACAAGGCTTAAAATATGTGGGTAGTTCTTTAATTTTTTTTATTTTTTTGGTCTTGAAACTGTTCTGTGGGAATTATGAGCTGTTCTTTAGTCCATCTGGGTATTTTAAAAGCAAATAATAAATATACCACATAACGAGAGATATTTTACAGTTGCAAAGCCCTTTCCCTCATGATCTCATTTGATGTATTTATATCGACAAGTAGAAAATATGTTGATGTTTTTACTGACATACAAATATTTTCACCTCAACAGTCTGACAGGCAAGTTATTCTGAGATAGTTGCTTTGCCTGGAAACTTGCCTAAAATAACTATCGCCACAAGGGCCTTCCACACTTGCCGTGTGAGTCATTACTACAAAGGTAATGGAACAAGGCTGGAAGTCTGAATGCGGGTCCCTAGGGTAGAGGGGTTCAGGACAGGATTATGATAAAGGTTTTAGCAGACAGGAAGAAAAAATGCAAATAAACCCAAGGCTTTAAACAAAAGATGTCATTTCTCCAACTCGGTTATGCTATACCATATGCCACACCGTTTCCTTTAACCACTTGGTGGCTTCTTCGGGTCCCCAGTCTCTTTTTTCTATGAGTCTTAGGGTAGACACTGTTTTAGTGTTATGCTCCATGTCTTAGAGTCTGTGGGGAATCTTAATCCTTACCTGGCCCCACACAGGAAGCTTTGGAAGCCATTTCCTTTTACCAGCTTCTCCAAGCTGGTTTAAATGCATTTCTGTAACAGACTAGCTTTGTGACTTCAGCTGACTGCTCTGAATGTTCTTTTTCTCACCTGGAGGGTGCTGGACAAATAATCCTGAAATGCCTCTCCAGCACTCATATTTTATGAGTCTGTTATTTTGCCAAAACACTTAAATTCTGGGAGGAGCAAAACCACTTTTTTTGTTTTTTTGGTTTTTCTTTGAGACAAGGTCTCACTCTGTTTCCCAGTGCAGTGGCACAGTCACCGCTCACTACATCCTTGAACTCCTGGGCTCAAACGATCTTACTGTCTTGCCTCCCAAGTAGCTGGGATTATAGGCATGCACCCCTATGGCCAGCTAATTTTGTATTTTTTTTAGTAGAGACGGGGTTTCTCCATGCTGGTTAGGCTAGTCTTGAGCTCCCAACCTCAAGTGATCTACCCGCCTTGGCCTCCCAAAGTGCTAGAGTTACAGGCATGAGCCACCACGCCCAGCCCAAAAGATAGCATTCTTAAATATCATGTTACTTTATGTAAATCTGCCCATATCCAGCCTTCTCTTCTTGGCTGAAGCAGCCATGTGACTGACGTCATCATGGAGGCTAGGATCACATCATAAAGCATAGTTTCCTTTGGAGATTTATAATACTGTCCCTGGGATCAAACCCACCGAAGTGCTCAGGCCATGACTGGCATCTAATCAGGGTCATGAGAAGTTATAATGTACCACAGGGGGCAGAAAACTAGAAAAGGTAAATGAAACATATAGAAAACTGTCTAATGCTTTGAATTTATTTTTTTCATTACTTCATCTACATATAATTCAAAAAAGACAGTGCGTGCCAAATACTTCTCCAACTGCATCTCACTTGTCACAACGCTGCAAGGTAAACATTATTATTCTTATTATTTTCCAGGGGAGTAATCTGAGACTGAAAGAGGTTAAGTTGGCATGACTTAAGTTCAAGTTTCATGACCCTAACCAAAGCCCTGTCATACAATTTGCACTATTACTCACTACTCACACTTGATTCTGGTGTGGAAGCGCAAGGTCATTTGAAAGAGTAATTCTTTTCATAGAAAACAGTGGAGGCAGCTCTTGCCACTGTAGTTGCCATGTTTTTGGCTTCCCTATGTCATGCCCAGTCTGGTGGTCTTGGTGGTGGGTGCCCAGTAGTTTGCTGACCAATGCTTCCAGACATGAGAGAGATGGCCTTTGGAACCACATCTTCCATACTTGCAACTTTTTTGTTTGATTGTTTAATAAAATGACCCTGACTTCCTACTACCCAAACATAGATAGAATCCAAAATGTTGAGCCCCATGTTACCTGGATTTCATCCCCAGTGATCATTTCCCAGGAGCCATAGTGACCCTTCTCCTGTCGGAAAAATTGCACAGCTTCTAAAAAGGCTTGGGCTTCAAATGTCATCTGCTTCATGTAATCTAAAGAAAAGATAAAGGGGCATTGAGCAAGGTAAAACACTCTACATTTCCCCATAGCTCTTCAAGTGCAATGGCTCAGAGACCTAGCATTATCTGAACATGAGAATCCATGGAATTATGAGACACAGGGAAAGTTAAGCAAGTACTGAATTCAAAGTTAATTTGCAGGTGAGGTATACGTCACATTACTGGTTCATTGTCTAGCTGATAAATTCTATCAGTTACTGAGCATGCTGATTAGGACTGGAAGCAGTCCCATCTCCCTTACCCTCTCTTGTACATGCTTCCCTATCCACCCACAGGCAGTCAGGACTTTATGCCACCAGCTGTGACACCGCACTCAGGCAGACTGTCCCTTAAAAGCGCTTCTTGTGTTCAAAGTATATCCTTCCAGTTTCCCAACCAAAACTCCAATTTCTCTGTGACGTGATATCAGCTTTCAATACAACATGCATCAACACAGCATGCAAATTTATGCAAATGAAGATATAATTGCTAAGCCTTACAAAGCAGGATGATGTTCATCTAATCACTTTACATATTTCATTGAAACCTCACAAAAACCCTTGAGAAGAATAGTATTATCCTCATTTTACAGACAAGGAGACTGAGGCACAGAAAGATGAATTAATTGCCTAGCTCATATAGCTAGTGAGTGGCAGAGCCCAGGTGTGAAAGATGGTCTCACCTCAGAGCTTGTCTCTAGCCATGACACTATATTGTCTCACATACTAGTTTTACGGACTCACCCTTCTAAACATATTGGATTTTAAATGGTGTCATATCTGAGAGGTACTATCCTACCACAAGGAATAACTATCTAATGGTGGAATTTCAGGTGTGGTAGAGGGATCTGGGGCTGAATGGCCTTCTCAGAGTTTCATAAGTCATGCTAGGCATGCAGTGGCTTCATTTCCAGCATGTAAAACTGGCTCTTGGGGGACACAATGATAACAGAACTATAGAAATCTTCATGGAGAAATGAACTTTAGAAATAATCTAATCAAATAATAAATCATCAAGCCTTAGAAAGGGGAATAAAATGGGCAAAGTGAAGCGAGTAAAAAGGCCAAGTTCCCTGACTCTCCTCCTACAAGACACAAAGTTCTCCTTCAGTAGCATATTTATAGGGCAACATTAGATTTAGAGGTGAGGAGGAACCATCACAGCTTTAGACAGTGGGATTCTTCAGTAAAACACTAAATAGTTGATATGGTGGACTAAGCAGAACGAAAAGAGGATAATCTGCTTTCAAAGGTGACAGTCAATTAATAGATGGTGGATGACTCTTTTGAGATTGGCTTACTAGATCATAAACCTCAGAGACTTGGAAAAGAGAAAACAATTCAAGGCTTAGCCTCTACAAGAGTTCAAGCAGAAGTATTCATAGTGAGGATATCATGAAGTCTATCGAAAGCTCCATTTTCAAAAATGTGGAACAGTGGCCAGGCATGGTGGTGGCTCATACCTGTAATTCCAACACTTTGGGAGGCTATGGATTGAGGATCGCTTGAGGCTAGGAATTCCAGGCAAGCCTGGGCAACATAGTGAGACCACATGTCTACAAAAAGAATTAGCTGAGCATGATGGCACACGCCTGTAGTCCCAACCACTCAGGAGGCTGAGGCCGGAGGATCACTTGAACTTTGGAGTTTGAGGCTGCAGTGAACTATGATTGCACCATTGCACCCCATCCAGGGAAACAGAGTGAAACCCTGTCTCAAAAGAAAAAAATAAAAGAATGTAGAATAGTAACCGACATTTCCAACATTGATATGGAGATTTGGTCAAAATCTGAGTTAAATTTTGAAAAGAGAGCATGTTTCAAGAATCAAGTTTTTAAACTGAAGTATTTTTTTGTTTTTTATTTTTCTTGACTTAGCAAGTGATTTAATGTTTAATCTTAGAGGTCTGGAAAACAAAAATTAAAATCTTGTTATAAAATTGACAATACCATTGGTAGTGTTCTCCCCACAAGGGGATTGTGATATGGGGCTTAGTATACTAGGAGGGACTTTACCAACTGAGATGGAAACTGTAATTACTACATTGGGATTCAAGACTGACTCATGTGCTCTTATTGTTAACAGCTGTTTTCTTTTCCAACCTAAGAAAACAAAGAGATGGAAGGAAATGTATCTGGACGAAGTAAGTACGGCCAGATCTGCAAGCCAGGGAATGAAGTTTTAAATTCTTCACATCCTTATAAGAAGCATACATTTACATATTTCCTCCTCGACTGACCTCAGTAACTGCAGGAGGTGCTTAAAATCTTGTCCATTCCCTTCTGCATCTATATCAAAGCAAACAATGACACTCCCACTGATGGTTGCATTTTCAACGATCTTTGGAAAAAAGAAGAAATGGGATTTGGAGATGTGGATGTCAGACAGAAGTCAAAGAAGGAATGAGGAGAGCTCGAATGTAAGAGTGATGGAAGTGAGCCACCTTAATACAGAAGAAAATAAAAGTATTAGTAATCAAATGGGCCACAAAAGAAATTATAGTCACAGAACAATGAAGCCTCAGAGAATGAGGGCCTGGATCTGAATTCTGGACTCTACCATTCAGACAGACTTAAACTAGATTTTAACTACCTCCTTTCTATAGAGGAAAAAAGATCTAAACTACTGATTCATCATTGTATTTTCAGCTAATAAAGTATTAAATAAATTAATAGACGTAAAACTTTTAGAATAAATCTGCCACATAGTAAGTTGCTTTATATACATTTGTTCTTAAGATTATAAGCACAGGTCAATAGCAATGAACAGATCATTAAGCAAATAAATGACAAAGGTTTGCTTTGTAACAGGTAACACTGTACTGCAGTGGTAATACAACCTCCCTTTCTGCTAAGCTGTTTGCGAAGGCATTGCTGAACTCAGTCAGAAGTGCAGATGTTCGAGAGAAACCAGATTAGCTGTTATTTGATGAACTTCCTGACAAAGATCTCACGGGAACAAACTCCAGGTTCACAATCACCTACTCTCCTGCCAACATGCAAATTGAGAGTTTCTTTCTGTGGCCCTCAGAATCAACAGCGGTTTTTGGCTTTTAAGCCACCTCCTGGCAAGCCAACTTAGAAAAAAATGGCAGGTTTCAGCCCAGACTCCACTCTTCCAGCATCCCGTAATTATGAGAAGGCCCGAGAGACCAATATGCCAGGGAGTAACTGAGGCATCACTACATTCAGCTCCCTCATTTAATGGATGAGGAAACTGGAACAAGAAATGGTTAATTTCCTAGCTGAAGGTCACACAGCTGGTCAGTATCAGAGCCAAAAGTTGAAAAAGTGGCTCTGGCATGTCGTAAGCGGCCTTGGCATTCATGCTAACTTAAATAACAGACTATGAGAGTTGGAAGTGATCTTAAAGGTCACCGACCCCAAGCTCTCGTTCAATGCTGGGATCCTTCAGAATCCCAGACAGACACTAGTTGGCCCTGGCTTGATTATTTCCAGTGACAGGAAGCTCACAATTTAATGAAATAGTTCTTTCCGTCACTGAACTGCTCCAAATTTTCCTTCTATTGAGCCAAAATCTGTTTTTATGGACTCTCTCTCCCAATAATCTCATTTCTCCCTTTCAGAGCAAAATAGACAAGTTTACTCTTCTTCATATGGTAACCTGAAGAAAAACAGTAATCAACTGAATATCCTTATTCCTCTTCAACTGTTCTTCAAACGACGTATCTTTTGAATCTTTTTTAATTTGACTTTCCCTTTTCCTTCTTTCCCTCAGTGATCCATTCAAATTTATCTATATCTTCCTTAAATTTGTCCCCTAAAACGGAATACAATAGACTGGGTATTGTCTGACTGTTGCAAATCACACCAAGTTGAAGGAGACTTTTTTTCTGATCTCTAACCTCCTTTTTAACACAACCACAGGAGTCATACTGTTGATTCCTGTCTTCCTTGAGTTATAAATCCTTATACCTTTTTCATATAAAACTCTTACCAGTATAAGAATATAAGTCTCTCCTAGCCTGTATGTCTTCTTTTGACTTTGAAGGACAGATTTTTAACTTTATCCCCATTAAATTACAACTGACTGTGATCAGCCCAGTGCTCCAAACCTGCTGAAAGCATTTAAAAACTGTGATTCTGTCCCCTGATTCTCGTATACCACAGTATCATTCAAAAATCTGGTAAGTTTGCCTTCTATGCTTCTTGCCAACTCATAGATTTAAAAACATTCACCAGATCAGGATAAGGAAAGAGCCCTGGGAAATGGTAAGCATTTGGGGAGGTATGGGGGAGGCACATTTTGGCCATTCATTCAACAATCACATCCTCAGGACCAAGAACTGTCTAGGAATACACTATTCTGTTTACTCTCTCCCTACTTCCTCATTCGTGCGGCTGCATGGAAAACTCATATTTGGTAGACATGATTAAGGATTCTGCAAAGAAAGGCAAATTTCTCCAGGCCTCTTGGGGACAGTTATTCATGGGGCCAGCCAGAGAGAAGCTGCTTTTGTTTTTTTCCACTTATACAGATTTATAACACATCTGAATCAACTGAAATACCAAAGCTCCAAGGCCTGTGGAGGCATTCTAGATTCTGACTCTGGCTGTGGTGTTGCGACCCCCTGACTCAGGCTGGGTTTGGAAGCTGCCCTTTTATTTTATTTTATCAGTAAACTGTGCCAAGCCCTGTTAGCTCATCTGCTGGGTGATTTGTGAAAGGTATGTAACAGCATTACTCACTATGCTGCTACAGGGCTCATCTCACTGAGTTACACTTCTAAACTGTCTTTCGCCTCAGGTCAGATGTCACCTTTTCTATGGGAGATGCAGTGAGGCTGTGTGCCCTAGTTTCTTTCTAGAACAAAAAAGGGGCACAGGGCAAGGTAATCAACATTTATTGAGTCCCTGCCATGGAGCATAGACTGTACGAGATGCTTACACACACAGTCTTATATAATCTTTCTAACAATCCCATCTGGGAGGAATTAATATCCCCACTTTACAGAAGACAAGGAAATGGAATTTG